ATATATATATATATATATATATATATATATATACTACTTACTAATTGTACTACTATTATACACGAAAAACAAGGGACTATTGTATCTGCCAGATACCTGCCAGGTATGCAAGGCTGCCACTGCGAGAGTTCCTGTTACTACACTAAGATAACCAGACAGACACGCTTAGACAGAGGAAACAACACCAGTTACACAGTTCCTTTACCATTTTAGTTCTGGCTGGTATTTCCACAGCAAACACAGTCATGCCTCTGCTGCTGCAGCAGTTCCTGCTCTGCTCATTGTTGACATGAACCGTCACTCTCTGACTGGACTGCAAAACAAAAAGCAGCAGCTTTTCAACTTTATTCAGTTAAAATCAGAAAGCAAGCCGAAATGTATTTGAACAAATAAATAAAGGAACTTCGTGCTCAAGAAAACCAGTTATATAAACTAGAGAAATTGCATTTCCTGCAGAAATGCAGTGTGAATGCTTACTGCTGAAGAACTTGCTGAAAAACAGCTGAAATTAGCTAAAAAAACATGTTGAAATGTAGTTGAAATGGAAGAACAAGCCTAAGTTAGCAGAAGAAAGCAGAAAGAACATATATTTTCTGAATTGGGTTTAAATAAGTAGAAATGAGGACAGAAATGAGGAAATGAGCTAAAAACGTTGAAATTTGCAAAAAAAAAAAATGGCTGAAATGGAAGAAAGAAGCTTAAACTACCAGAAGGAAGTGGAAGGAGCTGAAATGAGCTAAAAAAATGGAATTAGTTGAAAAAGCTAAATTAACACAAAACAGCTAAAAAGTAGCTGAAGTAGCAGAAAAAACAAAATGCTGGTGAAGATTCTCAGTCATCCAGGACATGATGAATTCAAAAAGCAATTCAGAAAAAACAAACTAGCAAAAAAAAAGAGCTAAAATTAACAAAAGTTAATTAGGCCGAAAGTAGCAGAAATTACCACGAAAAACTTGAATTTATCTGAAAACAGCTGAAATTAGTTAAAACATGCTAAAACGTAGCTGAAAAGGTAGAACAAGCTTAAATTAGCAAACAAAAACAGAAAGAACACTATTGCTGAAATAAGCAGAAATGCGCACAAAATGTGTAAATTATCTGAAAAAAGCTGAAATGAGCACAAAAAAATAACAAAAGCAAAAGCTGAAACGTAACTAAAAAAGCAGAATTTAGAAATTTGCAGATGGAAGCTGAAAGAAGCTGACCCAGAACAAAATGTGAAAGGAGCAGTAAAATGTTGTAAACAGATCTAAAGATCTGAAGGATGTAAAATGACCTCAGTTCATTTTCTATGAGAAAAATTTAACAGAAAAGGCTAAATATTTCAAAAAGCTAAAGTTGCACCAATACCAAAAGTCAAAGCACGATTGTCCTGAAAGAGCTGAACGTTTTGATTTATGATTTGTTGAAATTGCACATAAAATTGTGGAATGAGAATCGCGATGAAAAACGTACAGAAGAAAAATGGATCACAATAGTGTGAATGGTTCATAAACATTCACACAATAAGACAGAGCAAGTAATAATAATAATAAAAAAACAGGCATCAGCCAACACAGTAACGATAAAAAGGTAGTCGGTTTCTTCAGCTATTCTTTTCTGGATCACTCTTTGGTGTGGTCTTTAGAATTTAACAGTCAGAAAATACTGAATAAAGTTTATATCCCACCTTGTTGACGAAGAGGGAAGAGATCCTGTGCTCTCCTCTGTAAGTGTAGACAAAAACATTGTCATGACCCCTCAATGCTTTGGCTCCTGTCCTAGAAGTGATAGACTTCTGGAGGGCTTGGTTCAGAAGTTTGGGTCCTGAGTCCATGTTGAGTGGCTGCATGGACGGCTGACAGTCTTCACAGTAAACATCTATCTGGAATGGACACGCCTGACAAAGCAGAAGAAAGATGCATTCAAATATTAGGTATCTATGTCAAACCAAAAGCGAAGCACTAAATCCAGATGTGCAAGCTCACCTCTACTAGCTCCAGCGTCCGATTATAGCCCATGGCTTCCAGGGTGACCCACAGGTCTGCAGGGTCGCCATCTTTCTCTGTGGCTTCCATCAGGTTCAGCTCCATAAAACCCTGCCGTGTCAGCTGGTTCTTTCTCATATCAAAGTTTTCTATTCCAAAACAACAAAAACATTTTTTTGAATGAAAAGTTGAAATAATTTTCCAGTTAAATTCAACCTAAACTTTATTAATCCATCACCTTTACACACAGTCCAGGCTTCTTCGTCACACTTCTCCCCACTGGTCCTCAGCTCAAAGAAGTTGTATTCTTCCAGGCCGAGCAAACCATTTCCATCCAGATCGATCACCTCAAAAATGTCCGACAGCACCTCCCTGTGGCAGAAACAGGATATTACAGACAAATAACTAAATAAAGCTACATTTCTTTCGTTCTTTTACAAAACACAAAGGCAGAAAGTCATTTTTATATCCAACTTCTGATATTTTTCCAGGTCTGAATATACATTTGATAAATCCATCTTTTAAAGCTCTTGTTATTAGCAAACTAAGGCTGGTTTACCTAAACTCTCTGGTGAGATCTAGTTCTTCGGTGTCAGTCTTGTAGACTAGTTCCACAGATCTGTTAGAAAAATGAGTCTTGCTCTGTTTCTTTAATCTGCAGCCACTGGTGAAGGGAAGCAGGTGGTATGTCCCTGCATTTAATTCTCCTTTCCAAACATACTTCTACAGCAACAAAGAAATATCACATTAATTTAAAATTGTTACAATCTTATAGCAGAACAAGCTCATCGAGACTCTCTAATCAAACATGACGAAAATGAACGTAAGCTAGGAATTAATCATAAAGCGTCTGTTTTTACATGAAAACATACTTCCTTGTCTTTTGATTCAGTGAAACAGACTAAAGTCGAGTCCTCTTTGGTTTCACCAGCTGACGAAACAAAAAGAGCTGTGTCCACCATCGTCCACGATGAAGACTTGTCTGAAAAACGCAAAACAATTCAGCGTTGAACATTTTAGCACTGTGTGTACTTTCATACCACATTTCCATAAATGTAAAAGGATTTCTCAAAACTTGTTCAAAATGCTTTAGAACGTATCCATCATTTCAGAAAATACCCAAACAAATGGCCATAAATGTTTGTTCCTTTTTTTTCCTCAACTGTACAAAACTTTTGCTTTATTTATAGTTCAAACACTTTTTTATTGCAGGAATACAGAAAGAACTAACTGGGTGTGTGGCTGAGGCTCAGTGGCTGGATGGTCAGGTAGACGCTGGTTGTTTGCGGGACATGGAGCTGGTACTGCAGAGAGCCGATACTCCCATCATCCTCTACAAAGAAGCATCCTTTCATAAAGTTGTGATGCCACTCCTGAAATGACAAAAAATGTTTCTGCTTGACTAACAAAACAATGGTACAAAATTAAGCGAGAGCCACATTTGTAAGACCCAAACTGAAATGATCTTTACTCTTTACTCTTTTCTCTCTCTCTCTCTCTCTCTCTCTCTCTCTCTCTCTCT